AAAAGCAGGGAATAATAAAAGGAGGGCAAGTCCCACCACTGAAGGGTTTTCACAGAGCATACATTTACTAACTCTAATGGCTACAACTTTCTAAACATCCTCATCCCCAGTCAATATTAGAAAGTCTGCACTAATTAGTTACAGTAATTCAAATTAATTTGGTCAAATAGCCTAAAACCAGGGTTTTGTGTGAAAAGAAGACATGGGAGCAAGCTGGCATGACAACAGGAAATTAGGGCAGGTAAGAGATGAAATTACAAATAAGGCACATAAATGACAAATAAATACTACCAATAAATTCTGCAGGGAAACTCTTCCCTGCACCTCGCCACCCAGCTCCCTGTCAGAGCTCCGAGCTTTTATCAGCCCACATGTGTGAATCCTTGTGGTTCTTTATAGCTGGGGACATTAAGGTCCAGAAAAATAAAATCTTGACTTCTATCTCAAAATTCCTTTCTACAAACAGGCTGATAAACCTCAAGGTGTCTCCTACAGAAAACAAGAAGAGTAATCAAAGGTGAAATGCCTCTGTTGTGAAATATGAAGATTATGCTGCCCTGACAATCAGGGTTTTCTGGTTCCTTCAGCCTCCGCAGCACTCCGAAAGGTCAGCCAGGATAAGAAAAATGAGCATCGCAGAGATGAATAAAGCAGAACAACTGTTTCCAAAGGAGCTGAAGTTTCAGGTCATATGGGAAATTACCTTGCTCCTGCAGTGGGAGCCCTGCCCATCCATGTAATAAACCCAGAGAACACGGGCAGGAAACAGAGGAAGGGACATGTCTGCAAGACTGCCAGCAGGAAGAGATTTGCAAAATGAAGATGGGGAACATCCCCTCTACGAACAACTTAACAGGAGGCTGAAAACTAGTCCTCACAGCTGTATGTCCCAGAAATCTAGATGGCAAGGTACCTTAGAGCATGAAGAACAGTTGCATCAAAAGATATCCAAAATACTGCAAATAAAATGCTACGGGCAGAAAGGCAACCTGCTCTCCAGCTGTCATTAATACATCCGATCTTCAATGGCTCTGGTATATCAGACTGGTTGAAACTTTTATCTAGCAAATAAAAAGTATAAAGAAGTTTAAAATTTAAACTTCTGATGATTACTGATCCATTACTGATGATTTGGAAGACAAGGCTGACTCTTGAGGAAATTTCAGAGAGCATTTGCCAACAAAAAGCACTTGGCAACTTTGCACTTCTGCCGATACGTTGCTCTTCTGGATTGCAGAGCCACCCTAGGTAACAAAACCTGGCTCAAAAATTAATTTTCTGCTTATTAAGCCTGTATCATCAACTATTCTATCTCTTTAGCTCAAGCAGCTTTTACAAAAATACTCCTATTTATAGTAAATGTAGATATTACTCATGCTCCCAATTTTTCATGTGTATCTCCTGAAGGCAGTTTTCCACCAAGTGGAATAACACAGAAAGAGCTGGCAATGAGCAGGAAACAACAGGACTGGGTAAAGTCTGTGAAACATTTCTAGCCAGGGACAAATGGTGTGAGAGGGAGTCAGGGTGTCATGGTATTCCTGCTCCATTGAAGGCACCTTGCAGGAATGGCAGGAGGGTTATGGCCACTACAGTTTTGCAGAATGTTTTACTGGGATGGTTTTAAATAGTTTTACGCCCTTCAAACATGTATGAGAGAACACAGCTAGAGAAGGAAGTGTGCCCTGTTTAAATAGCTGGGTCTACATTTTCAGCAGCAATAACAATTTCTTAAGCTACTTTTGTAGACCCAAAATGGGTCTTCTTCAGCCTGTTTTTGGAACATGCTCTATTTTAACCCTATGTAAAATCAGTTTCTTGAGAGATGCCTTTGCATGAAAGCAAAGCCTCCTGAGATCTTCCTGTGCTGTCAAAACCAAGACCAATGCAGATGCACACAAGATCCTCCCTCACTGCCTTAATACAACATTTGGGGTTACACTGTAGGATGGGCTCATGGAAATGATGGTGACCACCAAATAGCCACTTTGAGGAGGTGTTAAAAATAACAGTTGGTTTCCCCCACCTCAAACAACAGCATGGTGATAGTGCTTCCTCTTGCAGAGTCTGGAGTGATGCTGGTCACTGGCTTTGATCTGTCAGCTGCAGAATTGGGCAGATTATGCTTATTACATTTTTCTTATTACATCCAAGCAGTTCCATAAAGTGCACTGACACCCTCCTACATATCAGGATAATGACAGTGTCCCACTAACCAAGTCTTAACAGAGAATTTAACAGGATACATGTAAGATGGAGCAGATCGGCCGTGAGGAAAGGCTGAGAGAATTGGGATTGTTCGGCCTGGAGAAGAGAAGCTTCAGAGTGACCTCATTGTGGCCTTCCAGTGTCTGAAGGAGCCAAAAGGAAACATGGAGAGAGACAAGAGATGGAGTGCCAGGACAAGGGGAAATGGCCTCCCACTGCCAGAGGACAGGGTTAGATGGGATATTGAGAAAGAATCCTTTCCTGTGAGGGTGAGGAGGCCCGGGCACAAGGTGCCCAGAGAAGCTGTGGCTGCCCCATCCCTGGAAGTGTCCAAGGCCAGGTTGGACAGGGTTTGGAGCAACCTGGGATAGTGGAAGGTGTCCCTGCCTGTGGCAGGGGGTGGGATGAGATAAGCTTAAAGGTGACTTCAACTCAAACCACTCCATGATTCTATGAAGGTAGTTTTTCCCCTCTTATTCTAACCTGGGATTTACCAAGGATGGAATGAAGGAAAACAATGCAAGACAAAGTCCTTCTGCATTTGTTGCTTACAATTAAGAGGAAAACCCAAACTAATTAAAGATGTGGTGCAAATGAAAAGATACTGTTTAGTCATATGTAAGCAGAGTGAAACGGTAGCAAGAAATTATGAATTATGAATGAGGTAACCCTGAGAAGTGAGATAACAGAAAAGCAAGAGTGGTGCTACTCAGCAATACAAATACATTCACTTCAGGAAGGGCTTGTGTGTTCCAAACTGGCAAGAATTCCCTACAATAAGCTCTCATTTGCCCAGCACTCTCCAAGGCTCTAATTTTGAGATTTTTACTAATTGTAATCAAGTAAATGCCATTGCTGGAACATATTTTCAATGTCTGTATTTTGCTCCTCTCAACGTCTGTTTTATTTGCATTAATTCTCAAATTTGCACCAGGCATAAGATTTAAGACCTGAGAGAATGAAGTAACAGCTCTTGTTACATGGCAAATTTCAGCATGCCTGGGTGAAATCTGCATATTAAAGGGACATAATGCTTGGAATATTACTAAGTATCACATATGTACTATGTACTTGTACTACACACAAGAAACATTAGGCCTGCAGGAGAAGTCTTACATCTGATCTGTGAATTTTGTATCATCGTCTTCTCCTTGTTTTAGTTGGCAGTTACTTTTGAACAGCAGAAAGAATGATTATTGTTTCACAGACTATAGAGGCCTGCTCACTTACTGCATTTCCAATCCTCAGCTATATAAGCATGGATATTGCCTGGATTCTCCCAACACAATTATCTGAGAGTAATACTGAGAAGAGAAACAATATACATCAGAATGAAAGACAATCATAAATGGTTTAAAAATTTTATAAGCCATTTAAATCAGTAATGGAGGCTGGGTTTTAAGTGTTTATCTCTGTAAGTTTCCTTGGAAGAAGAGCCGATAAATAAATTTAACTCCTAAGTGCTGGCAAAATGAGGCACCAATATATTCCAATGAGGATGTAGAAATATAGCTCTGATGCTCAGTGTGGTGCAGACTGGAGATATCTGGAAGACATCCAAAACAATACTGAGAAGAACAAGCCCAAAATTCAATTACAGGCCTGGAAATACTGAAGTCCAACATTTAGGACATTACCTGTTGGGTTCAATGGTCTTAGAGGTCTTTTCCAACCTAAAAAGTTCTATGAACCTAAGATGACCAGTATTTCAGAGTCCCAAAATGTATGCCTGTTATAGCCTTTAATATCCACTCTGCTTTTCCATCCTCTCATCTTCTGCATCCCCTCTTCCCAAAACCACTCATAGTAGGTGGAGGAGGACAGGGGGGAAAAGAATTTAAATGTGCTCTGCCCTCCTTTACCAGAAAGCAGCAAATCTGTCCTCCAGGAAAGGGTCAGAGCCAGCCTGGGGTAGCTGTGGGCATCAGCAGTGCATGGCCATGAGCCCAGCCTGGGTCGGGATACAGTGCCAGCTCCCTTGGGAGCAACCAGCCATGGAAAAGGGGATACCACGCTGTGCAAGACCAGGCAAGCAGGATGGATCCATCCCACAAAAATTCACCCACAAAATTTCAATGTCTTCTTTTTCAGAACATGAAATAGTATAGTGAAACCCTACAAGATCAGTCTCCTTAGATCTTCACCTGCTATCAACCATCACAAAAGAAAGATATTTCAAAATACCACCCAATTGCACCACCCCAGGGCATGTACCCAAACCACTTCAACATATTTCTGTTTAACCTGTTCTCCAAACTCCTATCCCACAGGTTTTCCCAACAACCTGTCTTTCATTTTACCACTTCCCTGAAAGTTCAAATGTTTACCCTACTATCCAGCCTTAATGCTTGCCTGATGCCCTCCTGTCTCTCTCAGGAATCATAGAGAAAAAATGATTGCCGTGCCTTTTAAAGCAACCTTTCCTGTATCAGATTACTTGTTTCCTTCTGTATTTTTAGGCTAAACAAATCAATTCCTTCCATCTTCCATTACAACTTACATTTTCTAAGTGTCCTATTCTTATCACTCCCCTCTAGCTCTTCCCCATCTGCCCACATCTTTCCTACCGAGCACACTTCCAATTTCAGCCACAGTATTTAAAGCCCCTCTGAATTCAGGACGGATCACATGCATGCCATATATATATATATATTTTATTCCTGTTTTTAATTCATTACCTCAAACAAGTGAGGTTGACCTACAACAGATACAGGGTGCACATGTAAACTATGCATTCATGCTCAAGAAAACATAAGGTAAAATAATGTTGAAAGAGAAATTAGCTAAGCTCACCTCCTCTAATGGCTACAAAACATTTGTAGTACAGTCCTCAAGATCTCTCTCAATCCAAAAAAGTTGGTGGCAACGGTCTGTCTTCCTGCCTCAATGCTTGAAATATTAAACAAAACAATTTGATGCTAAAAGAAATATCGGGAAGTAAAAAATCCATGTTCTATGACTCACAGTCCATCAGGTCTTCTTAAAATTAACCAAAATCACATGCAACATGCAAAACATGTGTTCTTAAACAATTTCAATGTTCCTATCTAATCAAAACTGGCTTCCAAGCCTTTAAAATAATTTTCAGCCATTTGCAGACACCAAGTTTTAACACAAGCTCTATTTTCTTTTCAAGTGAGGTGAGTGAATAGATAAGCACCTCTAAAATTTAACAGGGTTGTCCCATCCCCAGAATGTTCAAAAATGATGGACCAACACGTCCCAAACACGAAAGCTCTCTGCCTGAGTCAAAAGTGTACTCTAATGCATGACCATAGGCATAGTACTTACAATGAGGAGAAAACTAGAGTTTAGTATGGAGATAAGGCCTCATTTTTCACTTCAATGTTGTACTATTAGCATTCCCTACACTTCTCTACACTTAATTAACTCTTTGTTGGATCTTAATGTGATAATGAGAACTTTAATTCAAACCATATACCATGTCAATCTTATCATTCTAACAGCAAAAACAGATTTAAATCACCCAAGCCCCATAATCCCTCTGCCTTTTTATAACACTGACTCCTTCCTACAAAAGCAGAGCAGATGCATCAGGACAAGAATTTTCCCTGATTGCCACTAAAAATATTAACAAGTAAAACCTATTTTGAAATCAAAATCAGTTGGCTGTCATTAACAGTTTTCACCTGTTCATCTCTCTGCAAAATGAAGAGCAGTAGAGATGGTGATCAAGGCTCTCTGGAGGTCCTGTACCTATGTTCTACCTGGTTAGATAATTCATTCTGACAAAACTTTCACCTTTTGAACAACCCATGATATGAATCCCTCTCTTGGCCCTTCTCTGCCTCACACTTCATAAACTCTTACAACCAGACTAGAGACCTACCAAACCCAGAACATCAAGACCCAGCAAGGAGCACACTTGACCTTCCAGCAGACTCTTCAACTCTGTAACACAATAACAAACAATGCAACCTTACAAAGAAAACTGGAAACATCACACTTAGCAGCCAAATTTAACAATCTGAAAAACCCTAACCTTCCCAACCTGAAGGATTGAAAAAGCAGTTTCGAAACAAACAGAAGCACAAAATGTGTGTGAGTATCTTATGTTTCCCTCACCTGTGAAATGCAGAACTGCTCTAATTCCCTGTCTCCTCACAAAGAGCACAGCCTCCAACATCACTGAGGCTTTGGGACGCAGTAGAGTATGTCCTTAACAAAACATGTACCTAAACTCACTGCTAACAGTTTTCCCAATGTAAACTTCAACCTGGGCACACTTTGCTCCTGGATCTGCCAAGCACTTGAAGGACCACTGCATGTCATGGAGGTGCCTAAACCCCCTGTAGGTCAATGGTGCACAGGCCTATTTGCTGTTCTCTTGAATCATGGCCTGCCCAAGTCTTCCATCCTGTGCTGTTAATAACAGCAATTAATAATAATTAATTATTATACAGTAATTAATAACTTACCCTGCAGTTATTAAACATGATGATAACAAGAATGACTCCATGCTGGAAGGACTCTGTTTAGAACAGCTGGATAAGGCCCACAGTGAGGGAAAGCTGAGAGGGAAGATGGGCAAACAATCCGCCCCAAGAACAGCATCCTGTGCTATTGGCAAAATTGCAGAAATAACCTTCAGCAGAGAAAGGAAGGGCAAACAGCAGATGGGGATCACAAGATGAGGGCACATTTTATGATGTTTAAACTTCACTTAAACAACAGTGAGCACACGAATGTAATAGTAGAAGGAAATACGTTCCTTTCAGCCAAGGGTCCTGTACTCCTTTCTTCTAAATGAAGAGTCACACATGGCCTAAACTTACAGCTATAAATGAGCAGGTGGTAACATTGAACCATCCTAATTAAGTTCTAGGGCCATTAGATCCTTTCTGTTACTATGCACAAGGCTTGCTGCTTTGCCTCAGCCACTGCAAGGCCTTGCCATATGCTGTTCACCTGAGCTCCTACCTCAAACCTGAGTTCCTGTGCCCATGGACTCTATTCTCCAGCCTCCCATGGATTTTCCTGATGCTTGGCAGCACCAAGTGAGCAATCTGTGATCATGCAGCATCATCAGACTGGGGTGGTTCTCAGTTCTCTCCTCCATCCCCCTCACTTCTGAAAGGGCACAGGGAGCAGCTCACTCTGCAGCTGGGGTGCAGAGAATGCTCAAGATGTTGTCAAAGCTTATCTGGGAAGACAAATGCTTAGATGATTAGGTAGTCTGTTCCTAATCCTCAAATTCAGAGTTTAGTTTAAGCCCCAAATTCCTGAGACTTAAAATTGCTTTCAATTAATTTTAATATTAGGCACACTGGGCCCCCAGGGAACTGCACAGCCACCACCATGGACACCCAGCACATTCTCTCCTGAACTGACCAGAAACTCTGGCCAGCATTAATAACACAATATGTGTTCTGAGAATATTTTTCAATACCTAAAGGTATTTATTTTCTTCTTAGTAGGTCCCTCTCTCATTAAGAGTGCAGCTTAACAGTCAATTTGGAATCATGGATTGGTTTGGGTTGGAAGGGATGTTAAAGCTCATTCCATTCCAATAGTAGTTACTATTTATCACAAAAAAACAAAGTACAGTGAATAATTTTGAGACAAGAAAAATAATAAAGTAACTAGTATGATTTAATTCTACATGAAGTACTCTGCTTCTTGTTACACTTGGTCTCAGCTATCAGCCTACTAAAAGCCAGCCAAGAATTCTTCAAGCCTTGCCAGAGCTACAAATACTGGCCAGAAGTATTTGTCATATCACAGCTCAGTTTCCAAAAAGTAAGATGTTGGACTTTTACAGCCAGAAAAATACAAGGTGCAAAGGTCAATAAAAAATGAACTTAGTTAATATTGTTGGAATGCATCAGATCAAACGAATACAAGTACTCTTAATCCTGTAGGACTGCAGCATGACAAATACTTCATTTAGATACTCAGCCCCCATGAGTCAAAACAGTCTGCAAGATTCAGCCTCACAACTGCTGGATGTTACTCAATTAACATGAGGCAATGATTTCCAGCCCTCAGCAACCAAGGCAGCCTCCTCCCCTGGAGAGCCAGACAGCTTTACCTTGGATTAAATTGATCAATTTTTCCACAGTGTGCATAGAACAGCATTGTCAGGCAATTTGGGTTCACTGGCCATGTTATTAAAGGACTTTGCTAATTTTTTCAAAGCACTCATAAAATACAAATCATGGTGTCTTATAATGAGGCATAATTGCAGTAGCAGCTTCTGCAACACGTATCTCTAAGGAAAATGTGTTGACACAACATGCCCTTAAGAAGTTTGGGCTTCCTTTTTCCTTACTGTAAGGTACAGTATCTTTAACCACAGGCACTCCTGTTCATTTCAGCCAGCCCACCTGTTGCAGTAATCCCTGCTCCCAGGAGGACACCAGTAGGAATTAATATCTTTCAAGGAAACCTCTTTGCTGTGTAATTCAGAACCCAGACATCCAGTAACACTAATCAAGGTAAATCCCACGTACAAACCTAACAAATTAGGAAAACATTAGGAACCCTATTTCTTCATCTTGGATCAAGGAAAAATTAGGAGCAAACCCAAATTCTGCATCTTGATTCAGTCACAAGTGTGCAGATGCCCAGCCTCCAAGCCAGGATAGCTGCTCTAAGATCCTGTTTTCACCCGCCCTACTGTAAAGCACCAGCAATGCTCAGCTGTCCAACTAGAATATTTACCTATTTAATGTGAAAAAATTCCCTGAAAACTATCGATGAGTGCAATCAGGAAAGTTCTTCAGATGAGTTCACATGTAAATATATTGAGAGTACTGACTCTGGAAGAAATGCAGAGCAGGATTTGTGTTCTGTTTTAAAGAGGATGAGAAAACCCTTCTCCAAGCTCATTTTGACCTCAAAATATGATATCAGAAGTTAACTACTTAGTCATCTTGCTAATTGATCAGAGTGGCTGAATCTAAGCTTTGAGTAATACCAAAGTGCAAAGCTGGTTAAGAAGGTCCTTTACAATGGAACATTGTTTAAATAAAGGAATATATCAAGCAGAATTTTGCTGGTGTCTGTCCTGGACCTGGATTTTCACTAGGGACTGGGATGATGAATAATAATGAAGTGGAGATGACAACTGCTTTCCAAAACCGCAGAGAGCACCAAGACAGGAAAGGCTCCGTTTTGCAAGATTCAAAGTTATCTTGACAGCTTGGAGAAATGTCTTGAAAAAGTGAGGAGATCATTCCAACAAGGCCCAAGTCCTAGATAATAGACTGGCAGAAATAACCAACACGATACAATAATATTATTTATATATCAATAATAAAATAACCAACATGGAAGCACTAGCTTATGCAGTAGCTCTGTTGGACAGGATCTAGAAGCTTGCTGGACATCAGCCATCAGTATCCTGCTCTTGCAACCAAGCCAAGCCTTGTCCTGATGCATCTAGAAGCTGGGATGGCTGCAGAATGTGTGACTTGGCTACAGGCACCAGGAAGGTATCAAGGAACAAGAATGACAATGGCTCCACGTGAAGTGGAGAAAACACTCCATGAACTAGAGCTCCTCAGCCTCCAAGGTGACAGTGGTGAGACAAAATGTTCTCCTGCTCTTCATACCTACAAGACCCCAAGGACCATGAGGACATGCAAATGGATCAGTAACATGGGAGTCTAGATGGCAACATGTTTAACTGATAGTTTGATGGCAGAGTTCCAGTCCTTACACCGTATTCTTCACAATCCCAACATGCCTTCCCTTCCCTTCTTTATCAATCCTATTTCTAGCTATCAATCCTATTTCTAGCTATCAATCCTATTTCATGGATTCTCAATCCTTTTCCTAGTCCACTCCCACAGGTTTTTTCCCAACAACTTCTTTATTCATATAAGGCAATGAACTTGAAACAAGAGCAGAATAATTATTTGATATCTCCCATCCCAGTGTCAAGTTCCTCTAAACTCAGTCATGAAGAACCACTGGCAGCTCCCTATTTGCCAGCAAGATACACCAAAGTAATAAGTGATTTCATATTCTGCTTTTGAAGACAAGCTATTAAATTCACATACTGTACTACTTTAATCAAGAATAGTTAATTAAGCTGTTCCCCTGATTTGAATTTTTATCATTCTGCACCAGCCATATATAATTTTTCTAGGACTCACACCGGGGCCCATGATGCATGTTTGCAATCTATCTTTCCAAACTAATCTGTCACCACTTGTAAACTCAAAGTGCATCCAATACATTTTATCTCAAAGGGAACTGGGCTGAGTTTGGGGACACTGGGGACAGGAGGGCAAATGATGCTGAAGCACCACTTCATGAAAGGGTTTCAGTGAATTACAGCTCATCCACCATGACACAAAACACTTTGGTAATATTTTAGTCGGTCTGCCTTGTTTAATTTCCTTAAGTGAATTCAGCTTCATGCTCTATCCTACCATCATAAAATCAATTCAATAACTTATATGCTCATAGTAATCATCAGCATCCATAATACAGGAGTCATAAGTGCAGGCCATAAAGCAAGGGAGATCTGGAGTGTCAGATTAACCTATGATAAGAATCTAAGTCTAAATTTATAACAAGCAAAAACCCCCCAAAAATGTTCTGTTCCTGGAACTTAAGGACAGCCTAATGCAATTTTTTCTAGAAAAAGACTTCAAACGCAGCAGCCAAAGAGCCAGATATGGATCTCTTCTCTTTGAAAGTACTCACAGAAGAAGGATAGCAAAAAGCAAAAAAAAAATAAAAATGGCATCACTATTTGGCTATGTGACTTAATCATAAGAAAATAGGATTATGAAGTAAAAAAGTGAACAAAATGAAAACTTGGACAAGTTTTTCAAATATTAACTGGGAATACTCTGTTATTATGCTGTGAGAATCGTCTGGAATTTACCCCCAGAAAAATAAGGAACACAGAGAGGATGTGTCATCCCATCTAGCCTTTTTTGAATCTATGCTATCAAGTCAAGCCAAGCCTTCCATAATCCCATCCAACCACTTTTATTTAGGTTTTCTAAAAGGCAGACTGATGAGGTTGATATGAACTGGCTCTTTTCACACCTCACAATTTTACATATTTTTTTAAGGAAATACAACCAAAGGAGGTGGCTGAACATGGGACTATTGGATCCCCACCTGAGCTGGCCCTGGCAAAGTCCCTGTCTATGGAGACAAAAACATCAGGACACTTAGGTCACTTACCTTTTAATGAAGATAGAAAAAAAACCTATATTTTGGTTATTTAAGTGAGAAATCAAGTATAGCCAGAAGAACAGTTACCAAAACTCAACCAGGCCCACAAGGAATATGCAAGTCCACCCCAAGAGCCCTTGAATCGGCTCTTGGCACTTGAGCCTTCTATGTGATTTTCCCATTTAACAGATTTATTTAGATAAACTCACAAATATGGGTATTCACATAGCATGACAGAATGGTGTATTTAGAGATTTTGAGTAGAGTAACATTCTTTCAAACTCATCATAAAATGAAAGCATGCCAAACTTTAACTAAAGAAACATGTTCTAACACCAAGAAACTTTTATAATTAATCCTTGCCTTAAATAATCTCAGAGAGAATTATGAATCTAATTACCACCAGTTGAAAAATTGCTCATGTTACTGAAATGGCTGAAACCAGACCCTGAGTAACAGACAATCTGAATCCCTCCCATCCCATGACCAATTTACAGCTAAGCCCTGACTCACTGCATTAAGTCTGAAAATATTTCTCGGCATTAGCGACAGCTCATTGCAGGGGGAACAATGGACACAGGCATGGGGGAAAAAATCTCCTCTAAAGTCCACTGCTTTACAGAAGGGATGAAGACAATACATTGCTAAAATAGTCTTTTTTTGATGTCGTGGGGTTTTTTTTGTTGTTTTTTTTTTAAGATCACCAAGGCTATTCTTAGAGGAGTTACACGGTGTGCAGGTTGCAGCGAGCAAAGGCTTGGCCGACGGCCAGCCCTGGCTGGATTTGCTGCAAGACTAAGCGATGCCTTAGCTTGGTAAGAGATTTCTGCTGGCTTTTTTTATGAAGAAAGGAAAAGAGGATAGAGAGAACTCCATACACAACCAGCTAAGAACAAGATGTACTCTGGAGAGATGTGCCACTGTCTCCTCACATCTGCCATCACCCAAGGCCTGTTTCAGCACTAAATGTTTTCCCCAGGAAATGAATATAAACACTTCAGAGGCAGCATTCCCATACGGATGTTATTCTTTAGAAAAGCTGGGCAGGATGCAGTGACTTAGAGAGCCGGGAGATCTCCAGCAGCAACAAATCCCACAAATATACAACTTGTGAATGCAGCCAAGCCCTTACAAAAAAAAAGATAAGGCACATTTTGACTTCACTCACTCTTAGACACTATGAAGCACCTTTGAAGCTGGTTATTTCAGAAACCCACCAGTCACCTGAAATGGCTGAGATTTCCTATGCTGAGCTCAGGCAATTGCTTGGCTAAAGGAATGTGTTCTCCAGCTCTCCAGCAAAGAAGTTGCTGATGCCAGGGAAGTTGCTGACACCCCATACCTCAAAGTGTCCAAGGCCAGGTTGGATGGGGCTTGGAGCAGCCTGGGATAATGGAAGGTGTCCCCGCCCATGGCAAAGGGTGGAGCTATACAATCTTTAAGGTCCCTTCCAACACAAACCAAACTCTGATTCCATGATTCCATGAAAAGGAAAGGGTAATCTGGCAAACCCACAGCATTTCAGCAGAAGTGTCACACTACCAGCACTGCTCCAACCAAATCATTCTCTGTGTTCCACCACTCCTGAAAACCAAATCTGTCCCTCTCTCTCATGGCAGCTTTGGTTCTTTGAAAGGCTAAAACAAAGGAGAAAACCGAGAGAAAAGAGCAGCCTGATGGCACTTCCTCCCAAACTGCCCTTCCACACCATGGAGCCCAACTTCCAAATATCCACAGAATCCATAGAGTTTGGGTTGTAAGGTGCCTTAAAATCCATCTCATTCCATGCACCATCATGGGCAGGGATGCCTTCCACTATCCCAGGTTGCTTCAAGCCTCGACCAGCCTGGCCTTAGACACTTCCAGGGATCCAGGGGCAGCCAAAGCATTTCTAGGCCAACTGTGCCAGGGAAGAATTTCTTCCTAATACCAAATCCAACACCACCCTCTGGCAGTTTACAGCCATTCCCCCTCAGTTTTGTTACTTCAGACCCTTGTCCCAGGTCCCCCTCTTTTGCAGATCCAAACTGGGGAAAGAGACAGACCAACAACCCCGTGCCACAGAATTTTCCCCTCACCAGGTTGTGCCTTTTTTTTAACATCCTGGGCTTTGGAAACTCTCCCCAGGTCACTCTCCAGGAAGGTTTTTGGAATAAAAGGTTTCCGGAATAAAAGTACTCATCTAGATGAAATTCTGGGGAAGAATTGGTAATGTGCCAGCCCATTCTTGCTATGTTTGCAGGCAAAGCAGCTACTTCTGATTCCCAACACTTGCCTTCAGGTGCTGCTGGAATACAAAATACATTTAAATACATATACATTATATATGTACATATATATGTACATTTAAATATATACACACACACACAACTATAATATGATTACCTTATTAAGAAGCACTGGCTTTGTGTTCCCATGCAGAGATTATCTGTTGGCTTAATTTTTTTTTAAAGCTGCCTGTCTTTGATGGTATCCCATGGAAAGACTACATACTAGATAGAGCAGCACATGGTCCACACAGACCAGATGTGGGAGATGAAAGCAGAGCACCAAAAGCTCTGTTTGAGCTCCAACACTGCTTCTTCCAGGAGCAAGGAACAAACAATTTAAAGCAATAGAAAAGGCTTTTCTTCTCAGTGAGAGCAAACATGACTCTGCATATTACCTTAGGTCAGTATTACTTTGGTATCTCTGTAAACCATTGCTTTACATTAGAAATTATTCATTAATTATTCAAGACATTTTTTTAACATACCTACATGAAACTCCAAACTCTATACGCACAAGAGTCTTAATTATCTGCTCAGCTTTTTCAGAATATTGAAGCACTTGCCTTTACTGGCATAAACTTATTTCCATAGAGGTTTTCTTTCTGTCCCTGACCTTTTCTTACTTAAAAAAATCCTGAACTCTTGAATGTTACACTCTTACACTGTTTCCCCTTCTCCCAGTCCAGTTTCTTACTCTTCCTTCTACCAGCTGAAATGCAGCAATCCCTTCCAACACACCTTTGAGTCTCACAGCTGTCTGCAGAGCAGCTGGTCTTGGCTATCCACAAATCAAAGGGAAACAACCAAAGTCCAAAAGCTCACTTATAGTGAAAGATAGATGAGGCTGAGCCCCTTCCAGCCCTGGTGTATGAATACACAGTGCAGAACGATGGATACACTCACTGTTCTATTCTGGGGGGTGGCTGAAGCAGTTCTAGTTCAGCTAGAGGCAACCCAGCTTCTTTCTCCTAGGTAGGCTGTACAGGGCAGCAGCAACAGCCCAACCAGGAATGTTGTCAGTCTCCCCATCCATGAGTGGAGGTTACACCCATCCTGCTTTAATCCACCACCAGGGATAAATCCCTGCTCTTGGCTCACTCACCTGCTCCCTGAGGGTCATGCCATGGCTGCACAGCACCCCAGCAGCTCAGGTGAGAGTACTGCACCCTTCCCAAAGCTCCCAGAATGCGCACACAGGTGAGTAAGCGAATCTCAAGTTCATGCCAGGTCCTCAGGAAACCTCGATTTGCCAATCCTGTCACCCTGAGCACACAGCTATTAAAGCTAAAGAACTCAAGGACCCATTAATGCAGCTAATGAGCTTCCCCCCAGCAGCCGTCTCCAGCTCTCTTTCCCTTTCTCTAGAGAAGACACCATTAAATCAAGATCTTTCCTGCTGAAGTGAGCCCTCACATCCCAAAAAAGCCTAAGCCTGGGTACCCCAGCCCCTGTCCAGATGCTGCATTTCCCTGGAAGACTTAAGAAAAGAAGTCCACTCAAAAATGTTCACCACAGTTTCAAGTAATTTTGAGCAAAACACCACTTTCTCCACAACAAATGTGAAACATTTCCCATCTTTGCTCACATCTAGTGGTAAAGCACCACCAAAATATGGAACAAACAAACACAAAACTCCATTTTGCAGTGGTGGGAATGCTCCTGCTGCTCAAGGATGATGTGAGCATAAATTTCCTAACAGATGGAAACCTAACCAAAGCAGTGACTATTGAAAAAGGAAAGTAGCATTTCATGCTCATTTAGTACAACAGACATTGTCTACTTGAAGCTTACTTAAACAACCAGTGCTCACTGCTATAACATGTGCTCCTGAGGATGTTCTGGTTTATGTTGCCTGGAAAGGTATTTTTTAACAACTCTTACTAAATAAACAGGATGAATGGGGAAAAAAAGAATCAAGCTAAAAAAATTTAGGTGATGAAAAAAGCCTCATGTGGATCGGATTGTGGACAAAAATGGCATTTTTGGTGTAAAAAAAGGAGACAAAACCCAAATTATTTCAAAACTATAATGGAACAAAGTGGACTGGGAGTTTCTGATTTTCTCATCCCAGAACAGTAGAGCAACAGGGCTTTTAAAAAATAGTTCATTTGAAAAAATAAGTCAAAAATTTGTCAAATAATGACAACTCTGGATTATGCAACACGCTGCTCTGATGTGCTGCTCATGGCAAGAAGAGAAGTTCAGGGCTGCAGAGAACCTTCTGAATCTCTTCTCACCTCTCATTGTGGTGTTTCTGCTCCTTTTTCCCTTTCTTGTCAATTTTTTTCCTTCCTCCTTTACTCCTCCAGCCTCTTCCTGGGATGGTCTCTTAATGCTACATTCCTCTTTGGGTTCTGGACTGCTTTAAGGTCTTTTCCAACTCAAATCTTCAGAGATTTTATGGTTAAATTCCCAAAACTGAGTGCTGGAGATCTTTGAATTTTTCATTTGACTGGCTTCAAGTTCACCTCCTTTAACTTCTCTTCAAGGACATCAGTTAGGAAAGTTTGCAAAAAACCACACTTTCTACTGGAAAAAATACCTGCAGTATAAACAAGTTCCAGCCAAAACACATTGGCTGTACAAAGGATCTACCTGAAACCAGCCCCAAAAGACATATCCCTCCAACAGCTTCACCTCAGCTTCAAGACATCAAAATTAACAAATTCATCATATCACAAAGGTTGGAAAATCTGTCTAAGATCACTAGTCCAACCATTGTCTCAGCACTGCCAAGGCCACCACTAACCACCTCCCCAGGCACCACATTTCTATTGGTTTGCGGTCTAAAATGGCACATCCTTCCCCCCTTTTTCCAGATGCAACACTGTATTCAAACTAAAACGGAGAGATCACAAAGGCTGTACAGGTAAACATCTAATGAGGTACCTATGGATGAATTTGCTGTTATGTCCATGCCATACAAAAGTCTGAAATTAGCACCTCACCAGATATGGAAATCCCAGACCCTAAATTTCCTCCACAACCAAGGAGTTCCTAAAAAGAAAGTGTGAGTAGACCTGCATAATATCGATAATTAAACCTGAACAGATGAAAGACTGAACTACTTTGCTACTATGACAAGGAGATCAGGAAATCACAGCTCACCAATGCTCAGGTGTACTTCAAACTGGGACTCTCAGGCCATGGACTGAGCAGCAGTCCAGCAGCTGCATGGATTTACAGCTTTAGTCTCTATCAGTGACTTCTGATGATTTTAGTTATTTCTGCATGATCCATTCTGCCTGTATCTTGCCTCAACCTCTGTTCCAAAACAGCAGAGCTAATAATTAACACCTACAAGGGAACTGCTGAACAGCAAGTACCAAAACAGAGGATACAGAGAACTTCTCTTGCTGACAGTTTGCAAAATCCTACAGCTCGTGTTTCTTAAAGCTTCAGTTCTGCAACTGTGGAGATGCTCATGTTCTTTAAAAAAAAGAATAAAAAAAAAGAATAAAAAAGAATCTGAAGGCTCCTGGTCCTCACAATCATGGAAGAAACTCTTAAATCAAGAACTTGCCACCTTGCCATGACTGCTGACTCCTCTGTTTCACCAACAGCTCTGTGTCCATCCTCCTCAATAGCATCAGCTTTCCCAGAGATGAGGGGAAAAATCCCAGGCAGAAACTCACCTGTTAAAATGATACAGGCATGTAAACAACACAACCTGTATGGAAAATTACCTGCTTCCACAAGTGACAGTGGGAATGTGTCTGTGGGTTTTGCAAGAATCCTTTCCACCAACAATGTGGGCTGGTCCTGAACCGTGTTTCTGAGAGTTGTCCATCACTGCTACATTTTCTCCACCATCAAGCCCACAATTACATGTTGCTCCTGGACACTGTTATTTTAATACACTTTGAAAGAAATAGAATTACATGTATTTTAAATTTCCTACTTTAAAATCACATTCATCAAGTACATGAAAAATCATATCATTCTACCTCTCCATAGGGCACTGTGCAGATTTATTGAACAAAGGGGAAGAAGGAAACAAGGTCTGGTCTGAAGAAATGCACCTGGAACACAACAATGTTTGTATGATTTTCTGACTTGCTAAAAATATTTATTAATGGTGTTAATTTATCTTCAAAGTACTGCAGGAAAAATTAATACTTCTTCACCAGAACCATTTTAATGGGATCCAGAAGAAGAACATTAATACCTAGTGCAATCATTTACTTTGATGTCTATATAATATGCAGTGACCCATAAGTGGAATGAGATAAAAGTGTCATAAATTCATTATAAGAAACCATTTGTTGAAGAATATCAATGCTAATTTGAAATGAAATGGGCAATATGGAAATGAACTAATTGCACAGTGTTTAAAATAACTGGCTCCAGTAACAATGTCCTTTCCATGTACTTCTATTTCAGCTACAAAAACACTGGAAAGGCTGGGTTATGTAAATTGAAATGCTATAATTACTTAGTACTGATAGTGATAGGGCAGCATTCATTTAGGATCTCAGACTTGGGGGAAAAAAAGAAATCTAAAGGATGATTCTATAATTCTCATTTCTCTCAGAAAGGGAAGCTTGGATGGTATGCAGTGTGAAACATGACAACCCAAGCCCTGTCAACCAAGACTAGAAGAAAATACTATATATTCCCAGGGGCTTTTCTACGTATCATCTTATAAAAGTAGAATGTAAAATTTCTCTTTGTATACTACAAAGGTTTGAGTTGGAAGAGACCTTAAAACTCATGCCAGTCCCACCCCTGCCATGGGCAGGGACACCTTCCACTGTCCCAGGGTGCTCCAAGCCCCATCCAACCTGGCCTTGGACACTTTGAGGAATGGGGTACCAGGCATCCAGAACTATAAAGGTATTTTCCTCCATGGATCTGGAATGCAACTTCCCCAAATGGGGCCCATCCCCTGCTTTGCCCTCTCTGTCCCAGCGCTGCTCAGAGGCTCTGCCTAGAGGAAGCCCCACCTTTGCCCTCGCAGGTGCCCAGGGCATGGAGCCAGGGGTGCCCAGCCCACCCACCTCCTTTATCCCAGTGTGAACCTTGCCACCTCAGGCAGAAGGATCCTTCATCTACTTACTTGTGAATTTTAATCCCTGTCTTCCTATTACTCACTGATTTTGGAGCTGCATTTTTGTAGCTGTGCCTTTTGTTTGTGGTTTGTTTCTTCAAGTGGAGGGAGGAGAGTCCAGATGTGGATCAGCTCCATGCTGGGCTGTGAGGAACCTGTGGGACCTGTTCTCACGGAGCTGCCTCAGGCCCTGGGGTTTGGCTGACACAGCATCTGGGCAAAGTGGATGCCTATCCCAGGGGAAAAACGTGGGGGAGCAGGCTGGCTTTGGAGCCCTCCATTCCTTGCTCACTCTTCCAGCTCTCAGCAACACAGGAGCTGTATGGATGAATAGGAACCATCTACACATTTTCACATCTCCCTGCACATCTGGTGATGCTCACTTTGTCCTCTTAGCATTCCTATGCTCCAAGAACCAAAGAAAAAGGGCATTTAAATTTATTTTTCCCCTCCCACAATGGCCCAAACTGCACTTTGCTGTGTGTTTTTGTGGGTTTCACCCTGCCCAGATTCCAACACAAGAACCAACAACATCTCCAAGTATTTCATTAAGCTGAGGCTATATACATATATGTATGCTATATCTATATGTACTGGTAGTCCATAAAGAACAGAGAAAGAGGCTCCAAGAGAGGTGGAGAGGGAATTTGGACAAGGGCTAGGACAAGGCAGAATGGCTTCAAGCTCACAGAGGGTAGAGTTGGGGGTGTTATTGAGCAGAAAATCCTCCCTGTGAGGGTGATGAGGCTCTGGCACAGGTTGCCCCATGCCTGGAAGTGCCCAAGGCCACCTTGGACGGGATCTGGAGTGACATGGGATAGTGGAAGGTGTCCCTGCCCATGGCAGGGGGTGGCACTGGAAGAGCTTTAAGGTCCTTCCAACTTCAACCAACCTGGGATTCTATCATCAGAAAGCAGAACGGGAAATAGGGAGGGCAAGACACAGAGAAATTAATAGCCTCTGCTTTACATATAGAAAATATATTTCTAGATACCCATCATTTACAGTGGATAATGAACCAACAGGATGAAGTTTTCCCAACACTTGTACTAGAGTTGACCCTATGCTGGTGGAATGGGGCTCCTGGAGGAACACCGCAAGAAAGGCAAATGAGGGTCCAGTGGAGGATTTAACACACCCAAACTCTTCAGGATGGACAAAATTCAGGAAAAACTCTTCTTTCTAGGGGCTCGAAGGCTCTCAAGCATTTTTTGTTTCTTTCCCCTTATCAGCAGAGCATGAGGAAGTTCTTTCCTGAAACTGTGTGTTCTGAAACACTGCCACAGCACAGTGGTTTAAAATAAATAATTATGACATTAGAGACAGAAATCTTCACACTGGAAAATGCATTGTGCTAACTTCAGTTTTTACAAAGCTCTTCACCAATATACTACACTAGTGCTGAAATTCAGGAGTAGTTATGCATTTAAAACACCAATTCAAATCTTACCTAGCAATAATAAGCAGCACTGTCTTCAAGTATTTTAAAGTACGAAATTAATTATATTTCCATGCTTAAATTTTCCCTTATGGTATTTTAAATCTGTAGAAAGGAAGACACCACAAATACCCCATATAAACTTGGTGGCTACTCTATTTCTTTTAGCTGACTTATTTTCTTTTTTATTTAGATTTTAGCTCCTAGCTTGGGCAGGTTGGTAATAGAATCAAAATGTATTTTTCTAAATTGATGTGGAATTTGACATATACCAGTCTTTGCACTGCACATCAAAAATATTTATGATTGATATATCTATAACATGCATTTTACATCTTTTATATAAATATATATATATATATTTAAATAGGGGTCTTTCCTTTCACGTATTTCATTTTATGTGGTTATTAAGGTGTTTCATTTTGCATTTTCTGCCAAGCTTTTAATTTCACACACTTCATCTATGAGATATTACTGTCTACTTTAGACACATCACTACAAAAAATGATAGCTGGTGTTGAATACAGATTCATGGAGGCGGGAGGTTTGCAGTTCCAAGTAATGTGGAGCTGGGTGATAAATGGAGAACAGCAGCTGGGCCGAAAAGCTCGAGACAAAAATCACATTTGCAGTTAAGTGGAGTGGAAATTTGTGGAAATTGGGTAAAGGAAAAAGCAAAACATTGTTATTAAAGGTGGAGTGAGAGGTAGCAAGAGCAACAGAGAAGCAATTTTCTCCCTGGTCTAGCAGGAATTCATCTCAAGCTCTAACATGGACCTCCAGGATGAAACAAAGGATTATATCTTTGTTTTGGGGTTTTGGATAACAAAACATAAAAATCCCAGCAAGTGGCCTTTTTTGCCAGTGCAGCCCAGAAAAGGATGAATAAAAGTTATAAAAGCATCCAAAACCTGAACTGCAATAAATATCAAGATAATCACCCAACAGAAAAGAAATGCAGCTTTACAGATTTCAGGGATATATGCACTATGACAACCCAGTTCAGAGGAATATGGATCCGGCTCCTGAAGTCTGCCAAAGCAATGCTAAGCTGCAGGAATACCACACATCTTCTCATTTTACCTTTTCTGGCAGTAATATTTTACAACAGAAAGCCAGGAGTGCTGTGAGAGTGTGGAAATGAGGACAATTAAATTTGCCCTAATACAAATATTAAAAAGGCTGTTATGTAATTGTATTCTGTATATTTAACATGATGGCGTAGAGATAAACAAACAGTCCTTTCCAAACAAAAAGTTAATAGGTCTTTATTAATGTCTTATTTATTTTGGTCATACCCGCTTGTAAAATATTAATATTGACTAAGTTTCGGCATTTTAATTTTCAAAGTGACAAATCCATGTGACTAGCCACCAGTAGCTGTGACTAATACTTAGGGCTAAAAAAATAACCCTATTCAGACCTGCTGAGTGGTAAACTCAGTGCTGGCAAAACTTGCTTTGTTTTGGAGAAGGGTTATCATAAAACCTTCCTCCAAGAAGACGGGGAAATGCAGGAGAGATTTTGTAGAGCCACTGTGAAGTCATGGGGAGCTGAAGTTTAGTTTAACACACAGTGGAGTTCAGCAACACATGTAGCACACTGGCACCAAGTGAGGCAAAGACAGAGCCCAGGATCCAAATAAACCATCCCAGCCAGGCCTTCTGCTTCTGAACTCACAAATAACCATCCTAGCTGCCCATTTACCTCCAGGAATAATAGCACACACATGACCTTCTATGCACCATCTCACACGAAAATTAGCAGAGCTTACAACTTTTCTTATGTATGTGTATATATATATATATATATATATGCACAAACGAACACTCGTGATTTAAAAACATATATAATATGTAGTACAAATTACTTCCTCCTTTCACCTATCTACTAGTTCACCTGACTCCACATATCCCTGGTTTAGCTGAGCAGCCACCAAAACACAAGTGGCACAGTGGTACAGTGACAGCATCCAGCATAGCCCCAGCTCTCCAGCGTCTAATCCTGCTACATCCCATTCCCATCCTGCAGGCTACAAGGATGTGGGACTGTCAGCTCAAGTGCAATGACTCTGACTTTTTTTTGAGGGTGGAGATGCTCTGGAAGCTGTCAGAGGTACCTGGAAAGAAACCAGCAACAGACAGATCCCAGTGGCAGGTGGAGAACTGGAGAAACAACCTGACTAAAGAAGTGAATCAGGCCTATGGATACAAGAGAATGGCAAGAAAACAAGCTTAGTTTACCTTTTCTTATTTTCTTTCTTTCCCCACTGTCAAAAGTCTGTATTTTACCCCAAGGGGGCCTTTGATTCCACCAGAAAGTATCTTCCCACGGAGCATCTTGTGTTCCCCCTGGCAGACAGCCCTAGCACAGCCATTCCTGTTGGCACTGTGTCTTAGGAACATTTCTGCTTAGGAACATTACTGTGCCAGACCTGCTCAAATTTTGAGCCCTGCTTAAGCCTCAGGTTGAAGCTGAGAAGGTGGTGATTCACTGACAGAGCTTCATCGCTCCCACAGATACTGACATTTGTACCAGCCCTTCTCTGGCTCTTCCTCAAGCAGAATCAATGCCTGGGACTCTGACCTCAGCACCCAGTGTGAAATGACACTTTCCCTGATGACTGCCATGTCCTTCCATTCTCTTTATCTACTCATGTGACCTCCTCTCCCCCTGACTCAGAAATACTGCAGCACTGAAGGCAGAGATGGCAGCACATCAAAGAGCCTAAGTTACAAGGGAAGCGGGTTTATTTTCACTTGAACTGAGGTTTTTTTTTTAAGCAAGACTTCAAAATACCTTTAAAAAGTAACAGAGATGATAATGGGATTGAAAAATTCAGTGGCATCTGAATAACTTAATTCAAGCACCAGTATCAGGGGATAAGATAACCCACCCAGAGCAGCTCCCAGACACTGAGGTTACACATCTCATCTGGGCTGTGCTTCTGAACAAGATGTGAATTTGCAGCCCTGTGACAATAAAGAAATGTGGTTTTAAGAAACAAGAGAGGAGGAAAAAGGGCCAGTTGATTCTCCCACCGCCTTTTCTTGTTCCTAAAATTTCAGTTGCCTGGAAATGGCTGATGAGAAGATGGGATTATGTAAGTGCTTGCCAACTTCTCACACGTTAAGGAAATTAAAGCCTCAATAATGGGTAGCTTAGCCCATCTTCTAAGAAGTGAGCTAAAACATCTTTACTAAAGAGAATTCGAATAGTGAAACCCCTTTAAAAAAACCAGAAGTGATGAAGACTTGACAATTCTGAGGATTAAAAAGCTGCATATATTACCGACAAGGTAATCTCCTTATACTAAGATGAGGAAAAGGAAAATAAAGTCTTTTTGGTGGGCAAGACAGCTTTTGTTTTAAAGCATCCTGTCTGGCTGAAGGCTTTCTTGAGTTATTGCTTTTTTTTTTCTCCTGATAAACATGACAGAGAAGAGCTACACCAGCCTTCCAGATCCTTATTGTTACATTCTCTAATAAACTCACTGCTCCCATCGAACATGACACACCAATAATAAAATAAGAAGCACTGTCCTCTTCCTACATTTAATCAGGTGAACACTTGGGTGCTACAAGACAGCTAGCACCAACCAAAGTGCAAAACAGCTTAAGCTAGTTTTGAACAGACCTTTAGCAAGTGTGTCACCCCAGCAGACCTGAGCTTTCCTGAGCTCTTCCTCACTGTCACTCTAGTAACACAGTACCTTCTGCAAATAGTCTCATTTAGCTACAGCTGAAGGCCAGTCAAAAATCTAACATAGAATCATAGTATATCCAGAGTTGGAAGGGACTCACAGGGATCACTGACTCCAATTCCCAGCCCTCCCCAGCCATCTGTTAAAAACCTCTAAAAAAACCCTCTAAATCCTGCTCCAAGCTGAAGTTACACCACCCACTGGAGCATCAACAATGCAAAATTGCAGGTAGCAAATAGCTCATTTGGAGGTTGAAGAAGAAAACATTGCCTACTGCTCAGCCACAGGATAGGGCAGCAATATAAACTCCATTTGCTAAAGGAATGCACGTGTAGTTGTGTAATATAAGTATGTGGGCCTAGGAGAGGAAATACAAAATAGCCAGGTTGATGGAGCTCACATTATGAAAAGTGAAAAAAAACCACAGTGGCTTTTTCTACAGTTGCCCAATAATGGCAAAAGGAAAATCCTCAGCGAGTGACAATGGTTATGGTTCCACGGGAATCTGCTGCTGATGTTTCCCCTCTGGACCTACAGATGGAGGGGGGAAACCCAACCATTCTATGTGAAGAAAAACTGCACTGAATGAGTGCCACCAGATGTGAAAACTTGCACCCAACTACAAGAATTGTGGAATGTCTTTGAGAACTCTGATTGGGCAAAGGCCCAGCCAGCCAATAATAAAACCTACGGTCCTTCAGCTTTAGAAGAGAAGAAACAACTTCTCAGAAATGCCAGAAGTGACTCAACTGTGATTTTTAAGCTGCTTCAACAGCATCTTAGTTACTTCAAGTAGTCCTAAGAGTTTACCTGTGATTGCCTTCCCTTACGTGGAACCATGAGCTGGCAAAGTGCTCAAATTGGGGCAACAGAAACACACACAATTTCTGTGACTGCTGTGTTATGAATATTTTGGTTTTTTTCTGTTCCAAACTGCCCTCCCTGGGAATTTTACAATACAGAAAACCAGCAAGTGTAGAGCAAGTAATATCTACATAAGTAGGTCATTTTCTTAATGGCAAGGAAGTGCTGTTTTACTCCAGCTTGTTTGTAACACAGACACACACATTTCCAAATAAAGCGTATTTTCAGATCTGCAAGGAAGGGGAGTGATTTATAATCATGGAGGCACTCACTCCAAGATCAAGTAGAGCCTAATTCAAAAAGACAAGCAGGAAAAGTCATGTTTTGCACCTTCCATGAGAGCTTTGCAGGGAGTTGTGACATTTTGGAGAAAATCCTCTCGCCACATGTAAGCTGGAGCTGGAGGGTGCTGCACACTACATATTCCATTACAAAAGCAGAGCCATGTTAGTTCATTAGAGAAGTGATAAGTTCAATCCTTACCAAGTTTTCTTGGTTCCTGGCTGCTATTTTCTGATCATCTTCTCCCCCATTTTTCATGTATTTGACCTCTTCCACTGGTTTGATCCTATACTCATCTGAGCACCAAGAAAAAAAAGAAAAAAAAAAATTGAACCAGTGTAGTTCAGCAGCTGGGATAAAAACCAAACGAAAACCAAAATAGCTGGCTAGAATAGACCCTAGTTAAACAAAGAAACTAAAAATTACATGTATATCTTTTCAAAGGGTTACATGTGACTAATACAAAGGAAGTTTTGCCTGAAGCTTCAATAAAAATTTCAGTAGTTCTCTGGTCTAGATATGTGGATACCATATAGTTATGGTAGCAGAAAACAGGGATGTTTGGTGTGTACTCTCCCAGATTCCTAGTTTTCTGTTTAATATGTTCAATACAAATAAATTCCTTGCTCCTGCACCCTCCCTGGATTTTCAGTCTCGGTGGACCAACAAGCCATGTATAATGGTTACTCAAGAGAAGACTGCTCATGGATATTCCTTGCACAGCAAAGCCGTGGAGGCTACTGAACATGAGTTAAAAGCTGGAAAAAAGCCTACCCACTTTGTCTTTTTTAAAACTTTCTTTTTTCTAAGGACACAATGCACAGTCATAGAATGATTTCTGGAGAAAAGGCCCCATGCTGACCATCTTCCTCTTCCCACTTCTCCCACCAGCCACCATTTTTCCTGCACACAAACGTCACCCAGACAGAAATTCAGCCTGAAAATAAGAAAAGTAAGATTCTTGGTTTGTCCTTAATACTTATCAGCTCTTCCTATTAGAATTCCCAAATCTAATCATAGTATGGAAATATTATCTAACATACAGGTGCTATATCACAGTAAACCCAAAGCTCCAACAAGGCATTTTTTCCCTGAGTAGGACAAGATGGGATTTCAGGAAAAATTATTCTTCCCTGCAGCCGGTGAATCCAGTTCTTGCAGGACCAACACTGCCCATGCTCAGTCACTTTTTGCTCTGGTTATCTTTGTAGCATGTTAATCTATAGGAAAAAACACCCAGAATTGTGCATCCACCCTCCTCCAGCTAGGATAAACAATGCACAAGAGAAACCTCATTCCACGAAAGTGAAAATTATTAATACTAAGTGAAATGAGACACAGTACACTTGGAATAAAGGGCAAAACCATGGCAAATTAGAAGAATATGCACAAACTTTCCTCTTTTTCTTTAGGTTTTCAATCAATTTCTCTTACACTAAGGGAAAAACAAAGCACAAATAGATTTTTCTGGGTTTCTGTATTGATAAAAAATATTATTTATACAAAATAGTAACAAATAATAGCAAATTTCCTTCTTTTCAGGAAACTGTTAACCACAGAGACTAGAAGCTAAATAAGCCTTGCTTTGAAAAGTAAGGGTTATTTTTAAAATAAACTTGTTTCAAAAAACCATCTTATTTTAAAAATACATCATGGTTTTGCATTTGGCCTAGTCCACATCTATACATTTTAGTTATTATAGTGTTCAAATAAACTGAATCTATCAAATAGCAGCATCTCAGATGCAGAGCCTCAAATCAGGTGGAAGAATTTAAGACAATATTATCACACTGGTAAATGTGAACAACTCTTGAGGTTTTTTTTCTTTTTTTCCAGTGTAACTCAGCTAGTCTGGAGGTGACAATTCATTAACCCAAAAAGGCTGAACACGATAAAGCCTGGAATTAGAAGTAGTTGATTGACTGCAATTATCTAACTTTTGTTTTCCTCCCTGCCTCAGTGCTCTCTGTCGTGATTAGCAATAAAACCCACATGCAGAAAAAGCATCAAACTCCCACAGAGACATGCAGGGATCTGAACAGGGAAACAGATGAGCAAGAGAAAACAGCACAAAGGACATTTCCCAACCCACAGCCAGTCCATGTGCACTGGAGGAGAGAGGAAGTTCAGCCCAGCCTTGCAGAAAATGAGGAAGGCATGGAGGGGCTGACGTTCCATGGCAAAAATAACCTTGAAATGTGTCTACTGCTTATTCCAAGAGATTAATTGTGATCAAACACCACACCCAGGAAGCAGCTGATCCTGTGGGGATGGAATAGGAAAAATGCTTCCTTGGACGTATCATCCCTTAGAGCAAGTGAACCAGGGCACCAAGGAGTGTGAGGTGCCTCTGCCCAGGGAGGCAAAGATTTAGTTTCAGATAAGCACTGTTAAAGTGAAAGGCACGGCTTTAAAGCCCAGGAAGAGTAGATTCCATCCCTCTACCTCAGGGGATGGGCCCTGTGAGCCCAGGAAGAATTGCCCCACCCCAGACCCGTGTCAGGTGGCAGCCCAGGGTGTTCTGATGGGGTTTGAGCCCCTGGGGTTTCTCCCTTGCTGTGTTCCTAGTGGTCCCTGACCTGAACTCCACCCTGGTTCTGTCCCATAAATCCCACCACCCTGCCTCTGTTCGGGGCTCTCGGTCTCTGGATCTAAGCTGAGTTTGTTCCTGTGAATAAATGGTTTCCTGAGCAGAAGCCTGACTCGTTGGAGTCCCATGCTGGTCACTGGTAACTGTAGCCTCCCTGGACATGATCCTGCAGCCCCAGAACACAACAAAGGAGCCCTGGACTGATAGCCAGGATAATCAGACTGACATGTGAAATATTAATAAACCTGGATAGGACAGAGTCTTCTTAGAGATGTCAAATTTTAAATTCACAATGAACATGTGCACAGATCCTTCAAATGCTTCATCATTTACCAAATGCATCAAGTAGCTCTGAACTAGTGGCAGAGAACTTTGCACAGATTTCTTATAATATTTTCAGAGATAATTCCAACAGGGTTAGTAAACTTCAATACTTTCCTGATGGTACAATAAGTAATCAATTATCTCCTGTTGATGTTACTCTCCTCTCCATCCTACAAACTGCAGAAGTGCAGACACCTGGATAATTTATGCTCAAGATATGCAGCAACAAGAAAGTTTCTAAAAATAAACCAGTAATTTTTCATAACATTTTTTGGACCAGTTGAATCCTCCAGAGCAAAAAAAAAATTAGGAGAATGGCTTCCCACTGGGGCAGGGTTAGATGGGATATTGGGAAGAAATTCTTCCCTGTCAGGGTGGGGGGCCCCTGGCACAGGGCTGCCCCTGGATCCCTAGTAGTGATCAAGGCCAGGTTGGATGGGACTTGGAGCAACCTGGGATAGTGGAAGGTGTCCCTGCCCATGGCAGGGGGTGGCACTGGTAGGGCTTTAAGATCCCTTCCAATCCAAGCTATTCTGTGATTCTGTGGATACAGATAAAAAAAAAAAATAAATCAGGAAGCCCTTGCAGATGTTGGCAGAATCGCATAGTAATGGAAAGTGTCTTACAAAATTAATATAAATGTCCTGGCTAAAATAGGTATGTGTTTGAGCAGAAGAAATCTCTGCTTGTATCTCAAAAAAGCAATAAAGCTTTGACACAATCTAAAGCTGAGGATCTGCTTTAAAGGCCAAGATACTATCTCCTGGGATGAGACACACTGGGGAAGGGGTTGAGGGGGCAGCACTCAGGCTACAGTGCCTCAAGGAGTGATGAACAGCCTGGAGTGCGAGGCAGTGCCCAGCTCCAGCAATCACAGGGGCTCTGAGCAAGCTGTGCATGCACCAAGATCAGACCAAAAAGCAAATGCAGCATTGGCCTGTGGAAAGCCAGGGATCAACTTCATTTTGGTTAATAACTGAGCCACCAACAACTGTTTTTTCAGCTACACACAGAAAGGAAGGGAGCAGATCAGAGATTCATTACGTTTGAAGCAACGTAATTACTCATAACTTCTCCTAGTTCCCTATCACAGGCGAAATACTTTCCTTAAAACAAGGAGCACTGATACAATACATTGGTAACATTTTTTAGTATTGACTAGTCTCTTGCTGGAAGGAGGTAATAAATAGATATGATTCCACTCTGCAAGGGAAAAGAACAGCTCAGTAATTATACAGAATTAAATAGCTAGGGAACACACAGCTTGCTGGTGTTACAGAGAAGTAACAGCTTATTCACAGGTAAGACAACATCCTTTATTTCAAATATACTAAAATAGAAATTAAATCATTATTTGCAGAAAATGGGTCTTGTGCTGCATTATGTTATTTTTGGGAGACGATATATAGATGATTAATATAGACTGTTTTTGACTAGGTGAAGACAAAATTTGTCTTCTATAGATACCTTATACATACAGTAAGGTGTTCAGAAACTACAGATTCTGAGCTATTTATGACATTATTCTTTTTCTAAAGTTCCTGGCAGGATGGAAGCACTGCAAGTACAAAAGGGATGTTTATGCAATGCACAGACCTTAAAATAGATATGAGGTGTACAGTCATTAACAGTTTTAGGTGAGTATGAAAATTAGATTAAAGACAGGTTGGGTGAAAAGCCCTTAATGCCCTTTCTGAAGGTATGTGCAAAAAACTAACTGGTTTTGCTCAATAAGATGTGACCTGGAGTTGCAGAAGTGAAGGCTGATAAAAACCGTCTCTAAAGTTTTACCTTCTGATTTCTACTGAAGTAAACATAGAATTTCGAGGTAATTTGGTCTGAGTGATCAAAAACAAACCCAAAGAAATCCTTAAATGTTGATTGAGATCCAATAGGACCTCATTAAGTCTGGCAGCCAACAAGACCTTTAAAAGAAATTCAGGATAAAGGAAATCCGTACTCTATGCATATTTACCTTGTTCTTTTTCCTAAATACAGGAATAAATATCAAAAAGAAATTTGAAACATGTTCGTGCTTCCTTCTGGTATAGAACTAAAAATCAAGTAGTGAATATGATAAAAAAAAAAATTAGGACACTATCACTCAGAATGTGATATATCATATACAAAGAGAAATGCATCCTTATGCTCCTTTGAGGAGTAAAAACAAAATCGTCCTTTGCTGTGTGGTGTATTATATAAAAAATTTCTAGTAACTCATTACAGGTAGGAATGGCTTTACAGAACTGTCACAGCAAATCCTGAGTTGAAGAAAAGCAACTCAATTAAACCAAAATAAAAACAACATAAATGAACCACAAAAGACATAAATATTGCAAGCATAACACCCACCACAAAATCACAGGATATAAACCAGAAAGT